GACGTAATCCATGATTTTTCATCAACAATTCATTATTTTGTTCCACAACTAGTAGGCAAGATATAAGTTTTGAGTACTTTTTGAAGCCACGCTCACGATATTGCTGCTGCAGGAGCACATTTGAGGCATGAAAGGTGGAGAAAATTTTTTCCAGCATATCTTCATCGGTGATTTTTTCTCCACACAGTCAACTTTGAACATATTCTGAACAATTCAAAATTGTACTCATTAACCGTTTTAAAGTCTTGCAAACGAAGGTGCATCCACTCATAACGGACTTTGGGGAGGACTATAGTCCTTTGATTGTCAAATCTTTCAGTTAACTTTTTTCCAAAAAACTTGTGGATCTTTCTCAGTGAGATATTCAATTTTTAATCCATCGTGAAGATAGTGACGGAGGAAAATGAGTGCTTTTGCACGATCCTGCAGGGGTTCATTGTTTCTTTCTTTTATTGTCTCTCCCAGACCCTTTGAGACGAGATGGATATCATCATCCAGTATCCATCACATATAATTTTTACCAGATATGTCAAGTGCAGCAAACTCAAGTTTCGTAATGCTTGCCATTTGTTTAACTACACAATAAAAAAATACAATTAGTTTCGAAGAATATGATTAATCATCACTTGTTAATCAAATAGTCAATATCAACATGACTTTAAGTTACGTGTTTTCCTCTAGGGATAAACACTAATTTGAAAGAATATGTTCTTCGAAACATATGCTACTTCTGGAGCACATTATATTTTGTTATTATTTCTTCAAGTGCAATATGTCAATATTCTTCTGGAATATTGAGAGTTATAATTTATGCTCTTCAGGAGCAAATAATATTCTTATAATGTTGTACTACTTTTGGAGCAACAACGAATAGATCTATGATTAATATTCTTCTGGAATATTAATTATAATGTTGTGTTACTTCAGGAACAACAACAATTAAAAATAAATTTAATGTAATGTTTCATAACTAAACATAAAAAAAAAATTACAATACATCCAATTGCTCACCATTAATTAATATACAAATACATGTAAAATATTATTTTGAATTAATAACGTGAGTCGAGTGAAACACAAAAAGTGATATTTAGAAACTTATTCACATATTATGGCACGAAATTCTAATTATGTGCAATTAAAAGAATTGAATTAGTATTAATCAATTAAGGCATGAAATTTGCAGAAACTAATGGATTTGAGAGAAAAGATGAGTTAGGTACAGTTATTTGTTAATTGTATATTATATATATATGGAATCAGCCAAAATAGAGATCTGGAATTTAAGCTTGCTTACAAAGAACATTGACTAATTAAACCAAAAAAAAATTATAAGCACGTGTAGAACGTAAAAGGCTAATCTAAATATAAGGAGGGTATAGGAACATGAATTAATGCATATCAATTGATTTAACATAAATATATCATAAAAATGCACGTGGATTGATGTAAAGGAAAAAAAATATTAATTAATTCAAAGAGAGGTACAATGAAAACATAATGATCGAGAAAGATGAGATCACGTATTGCAGATTCAACATTTGTATATGTAAAATTCACGTATTATCAAATTAATTTTGATATACGTGATAAATGATTATAAAAAAAAAATTACTACCTTCTAAGAGTTTCCTATTGATAACGTGTTATAAAATGAGAGGAAAAGAGAATAGAGAAAATTCAATAAACTTTTTGTGTGTATTATTGAAAACCAAAGCCCTATATTTATAGGTAAGAATCAGGGATACAATGGTAATAATTTCTAGTGCTATAGGGATACAAATGTCATTCACCAATAAACTTTAATGGACTTTCCATTTACAACATTAACCAATTAATTAGGTTAATTGATGTACGATATTTAAATCAATTATGCAATCATATTACTAAGATTTAGCCATGGAAAAATCTGCACGTGTAAAAGAAATTGTTCTATGGTCCTAAACTATTGGTCTATTAGCGTGTATTATTAGAAGTTATTTAGAAATTATTTACTTACTGCAATTTAGGTAGTTTCCTTGTACATAATAGTTAGTTTCCATGTATACTTTGTATCCTAAAATAACTTGTAACGTCTATAAAGAAAAACCAAGACACACAAGAAATTTATTCAGCAGAAATATTGTCATGGTCAACATTTAGTTAGGTCTCCAAATTAAAAATAAATAATAAATAAATAAACCTTACTTATAGCCACTAAATTCAATTCTAACGGCTGCCTAAGTTGTTTTTGGATGTTATAAAGCTGGTAGATATGGTGACATAGATATCATTTATTTATTGCCTTTAACACGCCTCCTCACATGTAGCTGAAAACTCAAACCCATGACATGCGTCTCTCCATGTTGACACTTGAAAAGCTTCTTAAGTTATTAAATATGGCTGCATAGATATTGTTTAAATATTGTCTTCAACTATTTAAACATATACAGAGTAGGATTTTTTCAGTTATGTAGACTGTTGTTATTGATATTAGGTGTATTGAAATTATCCTCTATACGTTTCTTCTCTCTCACTCTCTCTGCTCATCTTTTTCTCAACCTGAATCACTCTTGATTTTTGTCTCTTTTAACAAAAGTAACTTTGGCCCTATTGTACTATAGAAAGAGAAATACAGCAACGAAGGCTGACATGGAAGAATTGATGATAAAGGTTGATAGAGAAGAAATACCCAGAACCTTGAAGGGGCTCTGGTACCATATCAAAAATTAAAATTATTTCTCATTCCTGTCCTGCTACAGAGGAAAAACAGGTTTATATGATAAATATTATGGGATCTGGATAAGGAAAGAAGAATTTAATCTAGCTATCCTACTGCAATACAATTGGATCCTGAAGCTAGAATTCAAATGACAAATATAGCCTAGGCTTTATATACATAAAAATACAAAATGGAAGATAATTTGCTAGAATTCCGATTCCATAACAAGTATTCTCCACATCCTAATACAAGGACTGAATAAAGACTCGAACAGAGTAGAATCAACTGCCATCCTCCAATTGCTGGTGGCCAAGCAAAATTGACACCTCCCAGAATGGAATCCTCAGCTACATCCCATTTTGTACATTAGATAATGGAAGGAAATCCCACTAATGAATTTCCAAGGGTTACTGAGGAAACATTTGACAATTTCTTTTGGAATCTCAATCGTTTTGAGTTCAAACCATACTTGCTTCTTACTACGCTGTTCCATAAGGAAGATTGTGACACAGGAAACCTTGAAAGCGATATGTATTTTAAATCAGAATCAAGCCCTTCCTCTCTACTCCTAAACTACCTCTACTTATTCTTCAAAATCCCAAGCAACCTAATGGTTTCTCTATATCCACCGTCCCAAGTGCGTGCAGGGTTCCTACCAATTGTCTTTGGAAAGTTTCTCAAAAATGGCAACAACCTAACTTCGCATCCTAAAGGACGACATATAGCTGATGAAAATATTTTGATAAAACTGACTGGATGGCATAATTGTTGGTTAATGAATTTTAATCATCACAATGGGAAATTAATTTTCTTTTGAAGATTAAAATCATGTAAATAAGGATTTAATTGACCTTGAGATCATTGGATTATAAAATCCTCACATATATAGAAAGGGGAGATGATAAACTTTTTGAAGGAGCTATTAATGGCCTAACCAATTGCTTCCTCCCTTAGATCTTCTCTCCTGTTCTCCACTAGGTGTTATTCCTTTTTGGGGAATGTGAAAAGTGGCTAACCCTAAATCTCATCCAAAATATGCCAATAAAGTGCATATTTATAATGAGCTATTAGGGTTTGAAAATTGCACAAATTTCCTTAAGACTTTATTGTTGTAGGCCAATTAAGTCACACACCTTTTATTTAGCCAAGGGAGGGACCTAATTGGACTTACATGACCCAAGCTCCAATCGATGTTTTCAATTGGGTCAACTCTTGACCAATTGAGATACATCTATTAATCCCGGCTTATTCTACCAAAAAATCAAGATTGCACTCTCGAGTCGAGTGATAGTTATAGGAGCAAATTATGATCCAATAACAATATTCTCTAATTATCGTTCCACAAGTCAACCCCCATTTGACCGTCAATATGTTGAAACTGGCAAAATGACCGTTTTGCCCTTCAACATGTATTACCCTCTAAATCCCATTTTCATACGACAAATTCGTTGTGATCAAATCACAATGTAAGGTCCAACAATCTCATCATCGACCTACTGAGCTCAGATTCAATTTGCTTAGGAAAATACCTTAGAGTGATGATCGTCTCATCTCAATGATTAATGGATTTCAATATTGTAAGTATATGATCTCTAATTGTTTCGGCCCGATTCCCAAAGCATCGAGATCAATCTTCTATTTAAGGCTTCACTCATTGGTATCTAAAAAAACTTGAACTAGCAATCAAATGTACATTACTCACTCAGGATTTAGGTGACCTGTTTGATAATCAAGTAGAGTCTCATTTCAAACGGTCATAAATGAGTCATCTACGCGGTCTTGTTCAATGTACATCGAAATACATTATTGTTCCTATTTCAAGATCTAGACAAATTTTAATAAGAACAATACAATCTTATCAACATAAAGCGTCCAACTTTATGAACCGATTGTGAATGACATAATTTTGATCACATCACAAATTGTGTCTTACTATACCCGATCCATCGAGTATACAATTTGTGACATCCTATATGATCATGGAACCTTAGACAATCACTTCAAATTATAACACGCAAATAAACAAACTTAAATTCATAATGTGATTTTACAGAACATTACTCGAAAAATGGGCATCAAACTAACAATAATTCCCCCCCTCTCTAGAGAAACCATTTCTACCGCCCATCCGACTTTAAGCATTTTACCAGATGTGTCGTAAAATTGAATTTCTATCGGTAATTTTACAGCCGTAATCTGCATTTTAGCATGTCTTCTCAAGAGATGCTGGTCAAACAAAACTATCATTTCATTTGACAATGTCATCAACCTATCTTATATTTATGTATTCTGGCTTCAGGTTTATGTCCAACAGTTAGAAAGCAGCAGAATGAAGCTGACACAACTTGAGCAGGAACTCCAACGAGCTAGACAGCAGGTTCTGTTCTTTCTAGTTACTGCATATATGATTTCCCCCTGAATATCCTATTTCTAGTAAGCCTTTGTTGTTTCTCAATTTAGTGAACATATTTTCTTTGTTGAAGGGCATATTTATTTCAAGCTCAGGAGAGCAAGCTCAGTCTATGGGTGGAAATGGTATAGTTATCATCTTTTTGACTATCTTACTGTGAATTTCATATTAAATTATTCTTTTGCTCAAAGCAGGTATAAAATTTATTTTGTTCCATTGTTAAAAAAAAAAAAAAAAAAAAAAAATTATTTGCCAAAAGAAAGAGAAGAAGCTACAAGAAGGTTGTAAAGGGGGGAAATCATTGTACGAGGTAGTACTGATGGACTGAGCGCATGAAGAGGTTCAGGAAATGGTTAGAGGTAGTACTGATGGCCTGGTGGTTGAATAGCTATTGAAATTAAGAACTGAGTTTTTAGAAGGGAGTAGGGAGTTTCAGAGAGGGGACTTATTTGAAACTTTCCATGGATGAAGAGGTTGATAGTGATATATAACGAACTCCAGAACTGAAGGAGAGGAGTTGAACTCTAACAATTTGGATCGAAGTTTTGAGGGGGCGGTTATTCTTGGAGGTGCTTTAAGTTCTTCATTTTGTTCTTTCGGCATGATCTTTGTGAATATTAAACTTTAGATGCCATGATGATGAGCTGTGTGGGTCTGCTTTTGTGAAGCTTCGTGTATAACCTTCAATTTTCTTTACCCAACATTTATGAATTTTATTTGAAACGTTTATGAAAAAATGAATATATTGAAATGTATAAACGTATTAGCTCTATTGAAAGTCAAAACTATAAGCAGGACATATTGTTAAAGTACCATGCTATGAATTCATCACAGTAATTAATATGTGTATTCCTGAGAACTGAAAGAGAGAAAAAATGAGTTGAGTGAAAGAAACCAAAGTTCTCACGGTTTTCAGGAGAATAACAAGTAAAAATTAAAATGAATGTCAGTGACTCGTAAATATCAAGGTGTAAAGCATAAATTTATTTAGTTGATGGAGCAGGATTACAAATTTAGATTGTGTGCTGGTAGTTAAACTTGAACTAGGTCAATCCTGGAGAGCTAAGTTACTTGCACGTTCTTAAGAAGTTGCATAAATACAGATAATATTTTAAGCTTTTGCTGAATGAGGTTTCTGTGCTTAAAGGAGCCAATTGTGAGTTCAGTTTCTTGCCCCTCCCATTAGAGCTATGAACTTTGGCATAAGGGTGAACATAAAAATTGACGGGTATAGGAATTAAGTTAAAGTCCAGTGAATAGTATTCCTACTTCCCGTATGCTCCATTTTTAATACTTCTGATGTTTTACATTAGTTGCTTGAATATCAAAAGATCCCGAGATGTAGCCCCCGTTTGGCCCCCATTTTTTGAAATGAAAATGGGTGGAATATTGTTTTTTTAGAAAAATGAGTGGTTGAAAAAAAAAAAAAAAAAAAAAGTTTTCAGTTTACGTGTAATATTATTTTATGGAAAATTGTGTGGTTAAAAATAGGAGAGAGAAGAATGAAATGTAATCTAATGAGATTCAAACGTGGGCGTAATAATTTGTCAACTTGGGTACTTTCCCGTAAGTTAAATGCTTTTGTAACCCAACTTGGTAACATTAGTTCATTTTTTTTTACAAACTTAATTATTTCAGTAACTTTGAGTTCCATGAAAGTATGAACTTTAAACCCTATACTTCTAGGTGCTTTGGCCTTTGATGTTGAATATGCACGATGGCTGGAGGAACATAACCGCCGGGTTAATGAGCTAAGAGGTGCAGTCAATTCACATGCGGGCGATGGTGAACTTCGCATTATTGTGGACGGCATCTTGGCACACTATGATGACATTTTCAGGATAAAAGGGGATGCTGCAAAGGCTGACGTCTTCCATATTTTATCAGGCATGTGGAAAACACCTGCAGAGAGGTGCTTCCTCTGGCTTGGTGGTTTTCGTTCATCTGAACTTCTTAAGGTGAGGGTTACATTGTTTGTATCAGGCTTTTGTCCACGAGCAACCTTGGGGTTACTCTTTTAGGATGACTGTGTATTCTCATTCCTCCCTTTGATAGGGCAGACAACTTGTGCTAATAGATCCCAAAAGTCTGCACCCATCTCTCTGTAGCACCCTCATTTTACAGGAAACCATGTGTTCAGGAAATTTTATAATTATTGCATAATGTGAGGATAGAACAAATAATTGACGAGAACCTGTTCTATCATTTGGCGTGTGAGTGTATCTATTCTAAGACAGTGGTAGAGATGGGAATGAATGTGTATAAGAGTGTTAATGTAGAGAGTGCACAGACTTCCCAGACTAGTATTTCTACATTACTGCCTCACAGAAAACCCAAACTTACTTAAAATCATATCTGTATTTTTGAGGGTCTGGAAAACCAAACTCCCTCACTGGGTCTAGGTTGAGGCATAATGCTGCATAAAAATGCAGCCTAGGCGTTGATGGTGTTTCTGCTAAAAAAAAAGTTTGTCCCCTCCCTTAGACTCTACAGATCTCCCCTGATAAGATGGACATATTGGAAAATTTAGCTATGTTTGAGTTACTTTTAGCTCATGTAGATCAAAACTGGAGCGCAACTTATGGCAAGAAATGATTATAGGGAACCATAATTATGTGGGGAGATTCATTTATTTTTCTGTATTTGGTACTGCTGGATGTCTGTATGGTGGTTCTGCATTTCTAAGAGAAGTTATTAGTAAAATTATGCAAACCCTGTTTACCTTACTAAGAACCTTTCATGATGCTTTTTTTGATAGAAGTAGATACGCCTGGTGCTTCTATGTGCTCCACCTGCATGCTATTTTGGTTCTAAGGTGTTCATAGTCCTTTGTTGAATATCAAGATTTCAAGTATTTGCGGAGCTTTGCGTTTTGAGCTCTCTATCTAGTTTAAACAATATGGTCAAAGGGTTAGCTATTGGATTCTCTATGTTGTTTTCGTGACTATACACTACATTGAATTAATTCTCCTCTCCTTATTGGGCGTGCAACTGTGCTTATGTCATTTTACTCCCTGAAAATGATGATGATGATTTTCCTAGAGTAAATTTTGATGGTTCATATCTTTTTGCTTGTTTGTTTTGTTTTCTCATTGTCACAATAGTTAAAATGCCCACCTTTTCTATTTGTTATATTAGTTTTAAGACTTGATACCTGGTTGCAGCTTCTTATAAATCAGTTAGAGCCATTGACTGAGCAGCAGTTAGTGTCAATAAACAACTTGCAACAGTCTTCTCAACAGGCTGAAGACGCCTTATCACAGGGAATGGAAGCGTTGCAGCAGTCTCTGGCTGAAACACTGGCTGCTTCTCTTGGCCCTTCTACTTCGACAGCAAATGTTGGCAACTACATGGGTCAAATGGCAATGGCTATGGGGAAGTTGGGAACTCTTGAAGGTTTCATTCGTCAGGTTATCTTTTTGCTCTTAGGACCTTTCGTTTTCTGTCATCAATCCTATCCCCTAGCCAGTACCCATTTCATCGTGCATTTTAATTCTTCCCCCCTCGCCCAACCCAATAAGAGATCATCTGGGCTCACAGATTGTAAATATGAGAAGTTGTGTTGAAGCATATAGAACTTTCCACATATTTTTTGATAGATTGACTGCTCCAACTCTTTGTTTACGATTGGAGTTTACATAAATGGAGGTTTATGGAAGCATATCTGTTTCTATTATTACTACCATTTTAGTGCTTATCGAATAAATTACTGTTTCCACAACCCATGTTACTAGCAATGCAATATGATATAACAATGCGGTACTCTCCATCAGTTTTGCATTTGTTATGGTATATGAATTATATCGTAAGCGAATGTTCTGATGAATGATGATGAAGCCTTACTGGCATTGCAGGCTGACAATTTGCGGCAACAGACTTTGCAACGAATGCATAGTATATTGACAACCCGGCAATCAGCTCGCGCTCTACTTGCTATCAACGACTACTTCTCTCGGCTTCGAGCACTTAGCTCTCTTTGGCTTGCCCGTCCCCGTGAGTAACTTCTCGATCTTGCCCGGTTCTCAATGATGTATTCTACAAATGCAACTTGGTTTGTTTGTTTATGATACTTTGGAGGCAGCCAGGAGTCATCAGACGGTTTCAGTGCAGTGTTCTTGCCCATCATCATCATTACTGCAGCTTCATCTCATGTTGTATAATTTTCCATTTTCAGTTAGTTGAAGACTTGAAGTAATTGATCACAACCAATGTTAATGTATTTAGAAAAAGGGAAAGATGGTTAGATCTATACATATAATTAATCCCCATAGTTCAAGTGAGATTATAGATTAGAACATTGTGTTTGCCTTCAAGATAACTTCGTGTGAGCACTGTGTATTTTGATGGAAAGCTCCACTGTTCTGAAGTGGTGAGAATGATTTTTCAAAATTCGATCAAAGTGGTCGACCATTGACTTAGACAACATTGCTATTTTCCACAAATTCTAGTGAGTTATAGGGTGTCGGTCAAAGGACGTGTCTATTGTCACACTACACTTCTTATTTAACCATATTACCTGATAATTGAAATGAACATTTTCAACGTTGCTTCTTTCTGCATTTATTTTGTCAATTTTCTCCTTGTTTCTATCCATGTTAGAATAATATTTGGACAAAATTTGTCTTTAAAGAC